CCCGCGCGCGCGCTCCACACCCCCCAGCTGCCGCAACTTCTGCGCACGACTCAAATCTCGTGACGTCACTACCGGCCGCGGGCGCGGAAACGACTTCGGGACGTTTCTTACTACGGAAGCCTAGTGCGGACAGAATTAGCCGCGGCCTAGTCCTTTTGTCATTCTCTTCATTCTAATCATTTCCCTTTGTTCTTGCCCGGTGTGATAGTTCAGGAACTATCCAGCAAAATTTGAAATTTGGCTCTGATATTCTAGGCGTCGAATCTCTGGGTACCTTAGAGAAGCTACTCTCCTTGATTCATTTCGTTATTCATTTATTCACTCATGCTTTCTACAGAAACTTACAAAATATTTACTGTGTCGAACTCTGTTCTTGACACTAGATTATGTCCGGGTTGTGGCTTTTCTCACTTGACAGGCACCCTATAATTTATTGAATAAATTGCTAAAAAGAGATCTAAACTTTACTATCTTTCCTTACCTCCATTCTTTGAGGTTCTTACTGGATTGAAAGCAAAACAATCTAAAGGTCATGAAAAGCTACAGAAATGTGGCCTGTAGTAGAAAAGACATAAGGGTAACAAACTATTCTAAGTCCGGAATGTTTGAAAGCCCTTTTGATTAAAATGAGGGGAAAAGTGTGAAACCCTTGGGAAAATATTTTGCATATCAAACTTGTATAAAATGTTCATTATGCCTTTCAAATTATACCTCTCAAATGCACTTTCTAGTTGTACGTAATATTAATTCCTCATTTAGTTTGTGCTTTTAGTTTACATATTGTTCAGAATCCTAAATGCTGTCATTTGATTGCAAGGTCTCCAGAACAGGAATTGATTCTCAAATATGTTTAATAAGATTATATCAAAGTGCCTTTACTCATTTATTTAAACAACATGAATTTATTGCAGTCTTCTTTTTAATGTATATATTTTTGGTTTTCAGAGAGTAAGGGAGAGGGAGAGAGAGAGCGAGAAACATCAATGATGAGAGAGAGAGTCATTGATGGACTGCCTCCTGCACACCCCTCACTGGGGATTGAGCCCTCAACCTGGTCATGTGCCCTTGACTGGAATCGAGCCCAGGAGCCTTCAGTCCGCAGGCAGATGTTCCATCCACTGAGCCAAAGCAGCTAGGGTTATTGCAGTCTTTTATTTACCATTATACTTACTGAGTTATTCCTGTAAGATATTACTAGACACAATAAATAACACCACCAGGTAAAAGACATAATTCCTGTTCTCAATAAACTTTCTGAAACAAGCCTGTAAAGCTTCAACCTCAGGGCCTTTGCACTTACAATCTCCTTTTTCTGAACCACTGTTATCCAAATGTCAATAGAGCTCTGTCCCTCAATTCATTCAGGGTGTTTTCTCAAATTCATCTCTTTAGTGAGGTCTCCCTGACCATATTATGTAATACTGCACAACTCTTCACACTCCCTAGGCTACTCCCTATTGAATTGGGATGGAAGGAAGGGTGTTTGAAATTAGAAGGTAAAGGAAATAGGAAGCAAGAGTATTGAAACATCACCTATATGGATATTGGAATCAAGAAAAGTAATAATGGAAATAATTACTCAGAAGAAAGTGAACCATGTACTAAATGATCAATGAATTGACAAGAGTAACTATGAGCATGACAAAGTCAACAAGAAGTGGTAATAGAGAGTGGAGTTTGAAGATATGTGTTGTTGTTTTTTTAATCCTTATCCTAGGATATGTTTGTATTGATTATAGAGAGAGGAAAGGAAGAGAGAGAGAGAGAAAGAGAGAGAGAGAGAGAGAGAGAGAGAGAGATTGGTTGCCTCCCTTACTCACCCTGACCTGGGATCAAACCTAAAACCTCTGGTGTACGGGATGACACTCCAATAAGCTGAGCCACCCTGACAGGGCTGAAAAGTGTTTTCAAAGTTGTCAGAGGTTCTAAGGAAGGAAAAATGGTGTGGAGGGGACAACAAAATACACTTCACTCAACTAGGGTTGCCAGATTTTACACATATAAGTACAGAAGCCCCAATTTAATTTTAAATTCAGATAGCTTTTTAATATTATTGTATATTACTGCAAATATTGGATGGGCATACCTATGTAAAAACATACATTTTTTTTAAATTAAAATCTAATTGGGTACCCTGTATTTTATGTGGCAATCCACCTCCAGACCCTTAAATATTTGGGGTGCAAAAAAATTGCTATGAGAAAATAGGATCCTCTGAGGAGAGCCAGAACATGAAAGAAGTCTTCAGAGAAGAGATTATGAATATAAATCAGTGGCCAGCAAACTACACCTCCCATCACTTAGTGGCTCAGATTCCTCAGCTCTAAAATGGGGTTGATAAAACCTGCTTTACATGGCTCATTTGAGAAATTAGTGAGGTAATGTAAACATCTAGCACAAAGAAGGTTATATTTTTAACTAGAGACCCGGTGCACGAAATTCGTGCACTGGGGAGTGGGGGTTCCCTCAGCCCAGCCTGCCCTTCTCACAGTCCAGGAGC